CAGGCATTGTCATAAATCTTTTGCCTGGAAAATTTAAGGAGTTATTATTATGTACGTTTAGATGATACAACCGGTAGAATACTTTTGCACGTTACTGTATACTGAGAATATTCGATAGATGATTAGAAAATTAGTCCGATCGAAAGGTATATAAGCAGCATGAATTTCAGCTAGAATCGGTGTGTTTTCGCAGTGTGAATTTGATTCCTAATATTCCTTTATTTCATATTATTGTTAATAAACGATCGCATTTACTCTGAACTTATATTATTGACACCCCATTCTCTAAATTAGTTGATATATCTGAGAAACCGTTAAATCCGAATATCAACGAAGGATAATTGCCCTCTTGTCCCGCAATTATCTGAGTGGCGAATTAAGATATTTAATCGTTATTTTGAAACGCGTTTATTCTTATTCATATACCATTGTACCCCAGACGGGAGACTATCGAATTTATCCCACGATAGTAACCGACGGACATACTCGAGTACGATTAACCTATCTAGGATTAACGTCGCTCTACGACGAAATAGTTCGTAAGTGAAAAGCCTTGAATTAACGTCACTAACTGTATTCAGAAATTTAATTAGAGTAGGAGGCGCCACGCTCCTACTAGCTAAATCCCAATGTGCCGATTATTATCCGTTCTCCCATGATAGTCGGCACGACAATTAACTACCCAACATACTAGAGGCTTCAACTCTTGGAAATATTGTTAAGCTCTCTACCAGCATATTCTGGCTGGGTTTCTGATCCAATCTTCACTTCTGGATGCCAACTAATTTCACAATTCATAAGGGGTAGATGGCTCAGTCAAAATCTACCAGCTTACAGAACTCTCAGGACTTACCATAATGTTTGGAACCTCAGACCTCCATGCACAAAGCCAAGGTCATGCATCTTTTTTGCCAATATCTCAATGTTCTGGATGAGAGAAGATACTCCTCTTATTCTGTCAGCAGCTTCATGACCATGATGTACCATCCACCAGCAACCCACTCACAGACAAACAGTTCTAGGGCAATTCTTATGTTATGGCATGTGTCATGACACTCTCGACGATAATGATCCAGAGTTGTATTGATTACCTCGACTGTCAATATATGTAAGCATCGGCATAAGGTGCAATTTTTTAACTCCATTCCTTTTTTTCTAATAGTGCTGTAATTCTTATGTGATGCATATAAACATACACACATACAATTGACTAAAAGTACAACCAAAAACGTAATCTGTTAATTCAATGTTTTTATTGCTATTAATAATACCTTCCCTGCGATTGCACGCGAGAAAAGTAAAGCAAGCTTGCATACACCAATAAGTTAAGCATTACAAAATCGAAAGAATCCCTCCCTGTAAGCTATTTGTAATGATTGACACCAAACGTGTGCAATCTAGAACGTTGTGTGAGCTGGTAAACTCTATCACAGGTATATATCTACATTAATAAAATTTTAAATAAAGATGACAAGAAGCAAATGCAAAGTTATTTTACATCAACAGATTAGACTATATCAGACAAGAAGTACATTTTGGTTCTATCTTCTAAATTTTGACAAGCATATAATCTACTCAAATTGAACTGAAAATATTAAAATGCAAAGATAAAAAAGGTTATTTTTAATCCGCTCTGATATACAGTGGTGTGCAAAAAAAAAGAACTTTCTTAAAATCACGTTAGTTTCACAAGTATTGCATCGATTAAAGTGCATAATTATAACAAAAGTTTTAATATGATATTCGTTCACCACTTTTCTCAATAACCTCTTACAGCGCTGAGGCATTTAATTTACAAGATTAAGGAATATTTCCCCACTCCTCCCCCAAAAAACGCTCTAATAAGATTTTTTGGCGTACGCAACTTCACATTCCTTTTAACAATTGCCCAAGGGGTTTCAATGGGATTTAGGTCTGGACTATTAGAAGGCCAATCCATAACCTCTGGGACATTCTTATCAAGGAATTCCTTA